ACGGGTGCCACGAACTGGATTAAAGCAGCATTATCCCTTCTGTGTGGAAGCATATCCTAGAAAACACATTTATGAGCCTTAGGTTCAAACTTGTGCCTTTGATGACTGTGAATATGCACATAATTAAACTTACCCACCAACCTTTTGTACCTTCTCGGATCCTCAAACTCCTAACCTGTATCACTATCCAATTTAACATTCAATTCCATAGGTGTTTCAGCTGGTCTGGCACCCAACAACCCTGTTTTTTCTAGCAGATCAAGAACATATTTCCTCTGGCACAGATTAATACCATTCTGGACCTCGCAACCTCTATCCCTAGGAAGTATCTTAATTTGCCAAGATCCTTTGTCTGGAAGTGACCATGCAAGCAAGTCTTCAACCCGTCAATCCCTAGTCTGTCACTGCCTGTGATAACAATGTCATCTACATATACCACCAAGAGAATCTTCCCAGCATTTGATTCATAGCTGAATACAGAATGGTCAACCTGACACTATTTCATTCCAAACTTCTTCACCACTTCACTAAATCTCCCAAACCATGCACGAGGAGATTGTTTAAGTCCATAAATAGCCTTCTTAAGTCTACATACCTTCTCACCCTCCCCCTGAGCAACAAACCCTGGTGGTTGCTCCATGTACACCTCAAGAAGATCACCATGTAAAAAAGCATTCTTAATGTCAAGCTGAAACAAGGATGTAAAGAGACTGGGCCGAATGGTCCCTAGCATCTTCTTTTGTAATATCTTTTATTTTATTGTTGGCTAATGGGTCTCTCTTAATGGGCCTGTTATTTCTTTCTGTTTAATCTCTTTATGTTACTGCCTATCTGGCCGCCCACTTAAGGGCATACTTGTCATCACTCTAATTTTTAATTCTTAATAAAAAAAGACTGGGAGGCAGTCCTAAGGATTGTGAGGTATTTGAAGGGTGCTCCAGGTCGTGGTTTATTGTATAAGAGTGAAGTCTTGAGATAGAAGTGGATTGCCGCTTTGTACATGAGAAGGTGCTTAGTGGAGTGATAAGTACAGCATATGTGAACACAGGAAATCAATGGGTAGATTTGTTTACCAAAGGGTTGAATCAGAGAAGAGTGGACTACATATGTAACAAGCTGGGATTGTATGACATATACTCACCGGCTTGAGGAGGAGTGTTTGAGCCGGCTGTACAAGGGTAGTATAGTCCTTTTATGTTTAGTTATATATGTATTGTTCAGCTGATGTGGCTCTCACTTAAGTGAGGGCACAATGGTAATTCTTGTATATCTTAGAAGAGTATAAATAAAAGAAGGGCCGACTAGAGGGTTTGGAATTTTTCTCTCTAGTTCGGCTGTGATATTTTCTCCTTCTTCTTCTCCTTCTCTCTCTTCTTATCCTCTTTCTTCTGATCTGAACTTATACGAACATCTAGTCTGAGTTTTATCAATGGGAATGGGACCATAGAGGAATCTCCCAACATTCAGGGTACCAAAGGAATTCTGGTTGTGCATATATTTATATATTCATGACAAATATTGCTGCTGTGTATAAATTATCAAAAAAAAAAAAAAATTGCTGCTGTGTATAAAGAACCTAAAAGCATTGCTTCATCTCTCCCCTCCCAAAATCTCTCTTGTACTAACAACATGTCTCTCTCCCTCCTAAATCTTTTTTTTTTTTTTGATCAATAACACTTTCATTAAATCATCAATAGAAGATTTACAAGAGGAAGACAAACACACTTATCTTCCAAGAGCAGCAAAGAACCTCAAGAAAAGGAAAAAAAGAAAGAAAAAAAACACTAAAGTTACAGCTTAGCCCAAAACAGTGAATCC